GAGAGAGAGAGAGAGAGGTAGGTTTGTAATTGGGCCTTTGATGCAGCCCCTTACTGATGCAAGCCAAACTGACCTACCTAACCAAAGGAGACTCATGCAAAAGGGAAGGGAAAAGAGGGAGAGAGATATATTTGTAATTGGAGTAGAAGTGAGGGACATGGGGAGGGGTGTTTGTAATTATGTCTTTCTACTAATGCAAGAAGCTGACACAACAAGAGGGAGGTCATCCAAAGCAAGCTTACAAGGGACAGAGTGGGATTGGAGTTTGTATTCGGTCCTTCCCTTCGTATCAAGTTTATTGTGTGTACTCCTCATCACATTTAAAAGTATACACAAAACGTCTTTAATCCAAGAAGTAAATCCTCACCTCAAAATTCATCTAAAATTATAATTCCCATGTTGGGAAACTTTTAAATCGATCATCTCAACCCTTTGATTATCATGTTATGAAAAAAAAAAAAAAAAAGGGTTTGAAGCGTTATCTTGTAACATATCAATAAGACTGTCCATTCTCAAGCTTTTATGGATTTACAAGGTCTATACTTTCTTTTTAGCTAAAAGTTTCATAACCGGTAGTGGAAATAGATTATAGAGCTATCTTAAGAATTCTAGTGCTCAAAGTATCTTCCAGACAAGATTTCAAGTCAAGGTTTTACTTTTTTTATAAATAAAAAAAAAAAACAAGGCCTAGACCTTATAGAAACTGCATTTTTAATCCAAATTCCAAACCCACAAAAAAAGGGGACCTACAGTAGAATGTAATTGTTGGCTATATGTATCATCCAAACAGAACACTCTTATGGGCTCAACTGTCCATTGTTGGCAATGGATGTAGTTGGCAATAGAAAACATGTATACAAATGATACACTTATATGTTGTACCAGTGTTTAAAAAGTCGGACCGGCAGGTCACACAGGTCGCCCACGGGTCTACACAGCTAGACTCTAATCTTCAAGAAAAGGGAAAATAGAAAAAAATAGGAAAAATAAACAAAAAATATATAAAATAAAAGGTTGAAATTCGGCTATTTGATGTCATCTAATAGGGGGTATAAATCAAATGAAAATAAAAAAATTAATATGAAAAAACAAATCGGGAAGAAAATGGTGGGACAAAAGCAAAAAAAAGGACAATTGATCTTTAATATTTTTGGTTTTGATTAAAAAACTTCAAGCCTTTTTTAGATCTATATGCTAGGAATATTTTGTGACAAATTTGAAGGAATTTGTTTAAAAAAACAAGAGAGAAATCGATGATTTTCAATTTCTGTTAGAAAAACCCCAAATTTGGGGAACTCTTTAACTTCTTTCATTTTACTGGTCGATCAAACTAGTTGTTATAGGAATTTGATTAGTGGCTCACACGCTATCAATTTGAAACAAATTTCAAAATATTTAGCTGAGATTTGAGTGAGAACAACAAAGGATGGTGGATTAAGAGTTTTGGGATTCTAAAAAGAGAAAATATCATACAAACCTCTAATTTTCAAACTTATTTCACATTAGCCTCTCCTAACTTTTCTCTTTCAAGCGGTATTAAATTTCCTCTTAGTGTCATCGTACTCTTCTATCCCCTATCTCCCCACCTTTACTCACTTTTTTATATGAAATTCGACATCAATAATTTCTCTTATATCACATACGGATATTATCCCCCCATCACTTTTTTATCTTGTGTTATAAGAGAAATTGTTTTTTATGTTAAATTTCATGTACAAAAGGAAGAAAAGAGGGAGGGAGTGGATGAAAGGATGCGTTGATAGTTTTAAGGAAAATTTAACTTCGCTTGGAGAAGAAAAAGTTGGGACGGGCTACTGCAAAATAAGTTAGAAAATTGGGGGGCCTAAAAATATTATCCTTTAAAAAAAAAAATAGAATTTTGATTCGAACTTTCGTTTATTTTTCATTTGAATCCAACAAATTGTTATAGAGGGAACAAATCGAAATAAGCATTTAGTTGAGGAAATTTGGAGAAACTGATGAAATTGCGTATTGAGGGTTTTAAGTGTAGGGTCCTCGAGAACTTCTTGCATGCAGAATTAAAAATCCCAAACAACGGGATTTTACCCAAGATTGTGTATATATTAGCTAAATACAAAATATGTGAATACAACAACAAAGGAAGTGTAAGAAATAACACAAACACAAATAACACTCCATAAATAACTTATGTAGCTCACCCCTATGGGCTATGTCTACGGCCTTTATAAATAAAATTTCAACCATAACAATGAATATTACATTTTTAAGCTACAAGAGATATCATCATCATTTGAGTTTTATCCCAACTATTTGGGAACATCTATGGAAATCTTGTTCCGCCAATACGTGCCATCAAAGGCCACACTTTCAGTCAAACCATAAGTCACATCTTCTCAATATTGACATCCATCTTCTTTTGGGCTTTCTCACTCTGCTTGAGTTTTCCACTTAGAACCAAATCACCCTTCCTAACCAACATTGTTCTAGGTCAACGTTGTTGTTTTAGGTTACAAGAGATATATATTTCTCTCGAAACATAAGCAAAAACCTCATTGATCTTTACTTCTAGACCCGTTATCTCGAATGAGCAACATCATCAATCAAGCTCATATATCCCACTACAACAATGCTGCCAAAAAAAAACCTTGAGTGCAATCAAAAGATTTTCTCTCTCCATAAATAGAAGTTTAACCAACCCAAACCCTTGTGGAGAAACCCCTTTATTTATGAGGCCACATCTCTCCCTATTTATTTATGAGGCCACATCTCTCCCTATTGGAGATCTATCTCTTTCTTGAAAATCTTTTTTTATCTTCAAATAGGTTGAATCTTTAAAAGGATTAGTATTATGACTTCCTTGACCCTATTTTGTAGAGGTCGTTAGGGTTTATATCTTGCTTCCTAAGAAGACCACGTTTTTTTTTTACCTTAAAGCACATCACTTTTAAAAGAAAATATAAGAACGGTAATTTTGACTATCACTATACCTAGCATTAAGATCATAAATGGCAAGTTTTTTATCTCTCAATCACACCAAAACTATGTTTTAATCCTACAATGTTTTGTAAGGCTACTGTAGGTAAATTAGAGATGAACCAGTAAGCAACAAATTGGAGAGCATTTGGGAGAGAATGAGAGAGAGTTTTGAAAAATAAAAATAAAGAAAGAAAAAGCAACAGATCCAATTGTTGGGTTAACTCAGATTCCACTGGTTTGTGTTTGAACAAGGCGGTTCCGACTCAAAACGACGATTTTTGTAAGCCTGTGTATGGTACTACTACGCAGAACTTTCCTTTTTATCGTTATACACTTTGGTATCAAATCTCAGAACAATGCAATCAACCATACTTGGCAATATACTATTTCTCTCTCTCTAGAATAGAGAGGAAGCCAAAGTTTTCAAGGGAAAGGCGTTCTTGTAGTGAGAGAAGATCTCATTTTTACTGTGGCAGACTCATCTGCCCCAAGCTGTATGGCTTCTTTGCTGGCTTCCATGAAGCGAGATACAGCGCCATTCACATACTCATGTGCCCCTTTCACTGTCATTTTCTCACTCATTTCACTTGTGAAACTACTCAAGAAATGGTCTCCATTTAGGACAGAAGCCAATTGTGTTATCTCTCTCTGAAACTCTGTTAATTTTGCATCTTCTTTGGCTTCGGTTGATCTCATAGGCTTCAACACCTCGGGCAGGACCTCTGCTTGTAAAATCCAGTACTGTTAGCTCGAAAAACACACACACACACAGACCCAGTTCCTAATTATGATCAAAATAGAGAGAAGACCCTACTTCCTAGTCTCGTTCATAAGTTCAAAACATGGGAGATTTCGACTCTCAAGCTGAAAACATACAGCGAGAAGACCCACTAACTAAATTTCACTAGGTTCAAAACAGATCTCTCTCTCCTCTC